CATTCAACCAGAAGTATGGCTGCCTCCACGGCTTTTATGAAAAATGTATCACTTAGAGACATATGCAGGGCAGTGACATGGTCGTCCGCATCCACCTTCGCTAGACACTATGCCCTTGACCGTCTCAAGGTCGCTGACACAGCAGTCGCTCAAGCAGTCCTTTCGTCCGTGCACAAGTAAATCCGAAGCACAATCAGTGCGAGGGTGACTGCTTCATACTCACCTGTAGTGGAACACCCACGGGGACATCACTCGAAGAAGAAGAAAAGGTTACTCACCTTGTGCAGTAACTTCTGTTCTTTGAGATGTGTGTCCCCGTGGGTGCTCCACGACCCGCCCTCCTCCCTGCTTCGGAGATCTCTCTTGTATCTTGCAGATGTTCCGGCTAGGAGGAACTGGCGGGTCGGACCGCGCGACGGAGAAAAGGGCGCGAACGCCGCGGGACACACTGCGCACGCGCGGTCCTCCGGAGGGGGCTACTGCTATGAAGAAGTTTCCGGTTTGCGGCGCCGGGACGAGCCCGACACCTGTAGTGGAGCACCCACGGGGACACACATCTCGAAGAACAGAAGTTACTGCACAAGGTGAGTAACCTTTTCTGCTTCTGGATCAGAGAACCTAGGAACTTAATGGCAGGAGGGCCAGCAGCCCATCTCGTGCCAGGGTTAGTGGCCCCACAGCGGGGCTGGGGCTGGGAAAACATCAGCAACAACCGTGGCAGCACGAGGCCGGGAGCCAGGAAACCCCAGGCGCCCACAAGAATGTAGGGCCATAGAAGCTTGGCCATCTGCAGCAGCGTAGAGCTGGAGAACCCCAACGGCCTGCAGCAGCATGGGGTCAGAGCCCAGAGAAGTTTGGCTGCCCATAGGCCGGAGAACCCTAGCCACCCATGGCAGCCCGGAGCTGGTGACCGCAGAGCAGACAGCCTGGCTGGGGAGAGATCAGAAGGGGGGCCAGAGGCAGAAGGCTGGCTGATTCGGGCCTGTGACAGAAAACACCTCCCTTGGTCTGGCAAATTCTGTTTTTTGGGAACCAGTCAGGCCCCCATGATTCCAGACCAGGGAGGTCCAACCTGTAGAAATTATTAAAAAGTAAGAATCCCATTTTTTTTAGTATCGTGCTTCTAATTCTGACTTACTCCTATGTAGTATTTCAGATTTGTTTGCAGATATTTTGAGAATTACCATGCAATTAGGAACACTAATATATTATATAATAATGTATCCACTTCAGCAAACTGATCTGTATTTTGAACAGCATGGCTGTTAACAAGGACTATGAATCTTCTATTTTATCAAACAACACCCTCATGCCATTTGTCTCAGCAGAGTCAAGTTAGTGCCAGAAAAATGAACAAAGAGTATTCCCTACCCTTTATTATTGGAAAAACTATATCATGTGACTTTTGTCATAAATTGGAACAGATTTTTAAAAAACAAACCATACGCAATATTGAAAGGACATCTAAATAGATGTAAACCACTGATCAGATGAAGATTTCTGCCACTAGAACATTTTGTTACTACATCTTTTAAATGGGGTGTGTGTGTGTGTGTGTGTGTGTGTGTGTGTGTGTGTAATATATATATATATACAGTATATAAATAAAATATTATAATATCTCGAGTTCTGACACTAGACAGCAGGATAAATTAGAAAGGAGATGGAAAGAACAGAGAGCTAATTATTCACAATGTAGAAATATATTTTTAAATGCCAAGTGTTTTATCTAGTTGTCAAAAAGACTTTCATCAGTGTAAAGTCAATATTAAGTCATGACAAATTGTTAGAGGTTGGAGAATTTGAAAAGTCAGTGTGTGAATCACAAACATTTTGTGCAATTAAGTTCTAGAGAATGTCTATTTTAGCATTAGCAATGGCCTACTTAAGATGTCACTGACTTCCCCCTCCTCCACCAAATCTTGATATGTTTGAAATCAGTGCATTTAAGTCAATGGCCTATATATATCCGGCACTTTGAAACTTTGTCAAAACACATATTTTAATTCTGGGAGGGAGCATAGTGTGATCAAAGTGAGCATAGCATACTGCTGCCTAACAAAGAATTGCTACTCATGAATAGAAAGATTCAGCAATGTCAGGAAGAACAGTACTGTGCATGCATGCACGGGGACACACACAAAATGTTTTTTTTTCCTGGCCAGTGTGTGTAATGTAATATTCAGTCTCCTAATCATTACT